TTTGGCAGTTGTATTTTCATGATTACGGCTTCCCAATCAAGCTAACCACCTTTACCGACTACCTGATTTCCTGACTTCGACAGTAGTAGTTGGTACAGTGCATCTTCCCTTGAGTTGACAGGACTATCTTTAGATTGGACTGGCTACTACCTCGACGTCGTGACCCCCACAACTCAAGCGGGGTTCTCGACGCCCGTTACCCTGCATGAACTCCCGACATCCAAAGGGTTTCCTCGACGCCAGCGACCGATTCTCGATAGGGAGGCCTCGGCGCTTGTCGTTCAAAGGAATGATTGATCCCTCGACCATGGAGTAACAGATATGACTGTTTCTGAGAGTTTTTTACTATAACAAAACTCAAATTCTAAACTCGAATCGGTGAAATAAATGGGACTTTAGTCATTCAAAAAAATCTAAAATAAAAAAGGCATTACTCCATTCTACTTAAAAAATAGACCTAATTCTCATTAGCACCATCACACACTCAATATACTGTACAAAACAGTGCCCATTAATTGATGTTTGCATTTCTTATTAGTTTTTTCCATCTCTGTACGGACACCGTCTATAAACAACATTTTGAGCATAATTCTCCCAATATTTATTAAAAATAATCATTTTTTCAATGACAGATTTTTGAACATATATTTGAAGTTTAAAGGAGTTAATTACATGATTTTCACGCAATAATTTATAATTGTTTAAAACGAACGTATGATAAGGACAATTTCTGTTCACTGCCATTAGAAACTCCCTACAAATATGGTATGTGAGAGCAAAATTTCAAGTTATCATAATAAACATTTGATTATTTTCATTAATTTCTGAACTTAGGAACCGAAACTTTAACAAATAAAAAAATAATTCCAGAAACTATTTGCACTAAAAATAAAGCTTACAAATTAATAGTTAGAATGTCAACTGTTTAGGGACAAAAATATCAAAAATCTTTCTAGAATCCTACTAATCAAATGATTTCAGCACTTAAATTTTTGTTTATCTAATATGGTGGGATGTTTAAAGATATATATCGTCTATACATACCATCAATCAAAAGTCCTCAATGACAATGACATTAGTCTTTTGACCAAAATTAATACATGACTTGCTGATGCATTATTTTTATCTATTTTAACTCAAATTATTCGGGTGCTATATTTTTGACTAGTTAATGGGGAAAAAATAGGCGTTCTCCTATTTTAACAAAAACTTTCACCGGTAATGTGTATGTGGGGCCAATTTGAGGTAAAAATATCAGAATTAATTTCATTAAAAGTTCGTGTGAAAGAAATTGTTTAAAATTTTTAATTTATTTTTAATTTTACCAAATGTTATAATGAATTTTAAAATTTTAGGGGCAATTTACCAAGATTAGAAGTTGAAGAGCTAATCTAATTTTAATTAGCATAAATTTATATTTTGAGTGGCATAAATGTAAAGATAGCAAAAGGAATGGTTGTATACGTAATTTTATTTTTATTTTTTGTCAAAAGAGAAATTAAATAGATAAAAATGACATTTAATGGGTATCTTTCACTTTTAATTTAAGAAGCTAATTGTCTTTTTTTTTTCCTTTTTTTCTCTTTATTATCAAGAGATACAATGCTAATGAAAGAGAAGATCGTGGGACAACAATACCAAAAACAACTATTTTTTTGGTTGGATCCTCTTGATATACGGTTAGTTTTTTACTATTATATATCATTAAAATCACACTAAATTAAATAAAAATACATAATAAGTCATTTTTAATATTAAGATGTACTAAAAAATGAACTTTTTCAGCAATTTATATTTCAATTCCCACCACAAAAATTCCTCAAAAACATGAATTTTTAATATTTGATCTGATATTTTTGTGTTTAATATAAAGATTCGTAACATAATTTAAATCATAATTCATAATTTATTATAATATTTTTTTATAAAAATATATATATAAATTAAAAATAATTAAAAATTATAATTCTTAATTGTGAACTAAACGACAATATCAATGCACAGCTGGCTTATGTAATAAGTATCATGTCACATAACAAAAGCGGCTTTCTGGGAGATTTCCAGGTGCCTGATTTGAAACAACAGATTGATGTGACAGATGCCTAATAAAGGCAAATTAAAACGCCCCAGCAAGCACTTGGGATTACTTACCGGGAAACTAATAAAATCGGCACTAGAAGCATCTCCATTTGCCAAGTTAAGCTGTGACATCTTTTTGTCTTGTTTCGTTTGTTTTATCGATTTAAACTTTTAATTTTAGATTTTTATAATAAAATATTATTTAAAAATATTACATTTAATTTTTTTTGTTACAGTAAAAAATTTTTAAAAAATATCACATCTCAATTTAAATTAAAAATTCAAATCTATAAAGTAAACGAGACTAAAATATAGATAATAGAGGGGTTATTTGGTTGGGGATTCGTACCACGATTCGAATCATGATTCATAGTTCGTTACAGTATTTTCTCTCATAAAAAATACACATAAATTAAAAATAATTCTAATATTATGATTCTAATCTATGAACTAAGAGGCCGTTTAATAGAAGGATTCATTCCCTGATTTAAATCATGATTCGTGATTTGTTATAGTATTTTCTCTCATAAAAAATACACATAAATTAAAAATGATTCAAATCATATAATTTAAATTTTTCAACCAAACATCCTCGTATTTCCCCATATTCTCAAGTGATATTGATCTTGGAACAAAGCTTAGACAGACAAATGAAAACATAAGCCCATATATCATTCATTGACCGACAATCATCATTCACACTGTAAACTTGAACGTCAAAGCAATTGCACTTTGTGGGCCCAAAAACAAAGGCGACGGAAGTTCCCTAAAAACTTCGCCATTGAATTGAATCCACGAGAAAGAAGGCTTTCCAGTCATTCCTTTTGAGTGCTGAGTCTTCGGACTCTAATAAGTCGAGACAGCCCGTGTTTTGGGTTCTGATTGTACGGTTTTTTGTTTTTGTTTTTGTTTTTTTTTTTTTTTACAATTCTTACTTATGTTGCAAATAAAGATTTGTCTAGAAGACTTTTTTTTAGTACAATTCTCTTTGTGTAATTTTTTTTAAGGTGTGAAAAGTTGAAAGTTCTTTTTTTATAAACATAGACTTAACTAGTCTCGTCGTGTAATTATGAAAATGGACTGTGATTTGGGAAATGGATTTTTAGGTGCGTAAGATTTAATCAAAAGTTTTTTGGTTCACATTTTGATTATCCCTTCAATTTCGGGCAAAATGGCAAATGGTCCGAAATTGGACGTGAAAAAACCGTAACAAATCTTTTATTAAAAGCTGTGTTAATTTCTCAGATTTTATATTACAAGTTTTATCATGATTTTGCTGATCGTCAATCAATGCTTTTTCTTTTTTTTTTTTTTAAATATCATCAATCATTGTTTCATTCATATTAGGAGTGGCAAAAAAGATCAATCATTTTGACTCTTCCGTGCCACCACTTTTTCTCATTTTCCAAAACTGGATTCTGCGGCTATTTCTACTTTTAAAAGTCATAAGAATATAAAAAACAGGGGCGATTTTTGATGTAAATGATATGCAATAAGGGAGCCACAATATGTTAAGGTTAAGGTAGATTTCGGCAGAAGATAATGTAGGTAGCGATTAACAAGTGAGTGAACAAAGAAAAGCTTGACCATTATTGTTTACCAGTCACAATATTCGACCACATGCAGCGACAATTCTCTGCACAAGGTTGTCTGCGTCCTTGTTGATGCGCAAACTAATATGTTCGTTTAAGCTAATGTAGACATGAAAATTATAAAATGCGTTTAGAACTCGTTCTAAAATGATTTTATTTTTTGTATGAAAATGACAATAAAAACGTTTTTAATGTCAGACAGAAATCATTTTTAAAAATGCGTTTGGTAGTTTTATCAATAAATTATTTTCAGCATTAATGTCTCTCTTCCTCTCTGCTCAAGAGAGGAGAAAACGAAAATAAAAAATAAAAAACGACTAAAAGTTATTTTTCATTTCTATCTCATTTTATACTAAACCAAAAAATCGTTTTCATTTTTATTTTTTGTCTTTATTGTGTCAAACGCCGTTTTGAAAACGTTTTTATTTTTTTCTCGAAAAATGTAAAAAATAAAAACGGGATCAATTCCAAACACGGTCATAAAATAACCAAAAAAAAAAAGGAAAAAAGAAAGGAAAAAATTTGCAAATCATCTTCTCACTAGGGTAACAAAAAAAAAAATTGTGTGTAGAGCTCGGTTGCATGAAGATTGATTGACGAGGGAAAAAATTCTTCTATATATTTAGCATAAGGATGTTAAAGTGTGACTTAAATTAATAGATACTGATAAAATCATATAAAACAAGTGGCATGATCCGGCAATATGGGATCAACTGCATTAGCTTAATTCTACAGTCACTAATTTATCTAAGTAATGCAGCAAATAACTTGTTAGAATGTAATTGATAAATGACATTGGAGATAGTTGTACTTATTTTGTCTAACTATTTAAGTATCCACATTATTTGGTATTCAAATTTAGTCTTCATAATATTTTTTTTAGATTGTTTTTTATAGGTAACAATATTCTAATTGGTGGCTAGAATTGAGAACCACTGATTATTAAAATGAGACTTGAGTATGAAAGAATATTGATTCAATCTTCTATTGTATCAAAAAAAAAAAAATTAATACATCACCGCTAGACCATCCTAGTGGTTAAAAAAGGAAAAAAAGAAAAAAGAAAAAGATTGAAATAGACAAATTGGAACTCCCTCAAAAAATCACCATCACTTTTGACTTGTATTCTTGTCCGTCATGAAGGGGTTGGTCTAAGCACGAGACGGGTCCCTGGCATTCACAGAAAAGTCACACAAAAAAAAAAAAAAAAAAAAAAAAAAAAATTTTTTAAGTCATCCTTGGAAATTAGTGGCCCCCACCATCCTTATCGTTCCTCTCTTTAAGCACACCTTTCTTTCTCCTGCCAATTCGTTTTTGGCTATGCGGCACTTCTCGACTCAACATCACCTCTGAAGTTTCCTTATTCTTACGTAGGAAGCTCACCTTGAAGCCGCCCCAACAGCCATGGTCGCAAACAACTTATATCTACACCACCAAACTTCACTCAAATCGTCAACATGATAACCAATAGTAAGTACTACAGCTATCCGTACTCCTCCCTGATCAACATGTCAAGCGGTACTAGCAACAACAACAATCTCGTACCAATGTATCAGTCTCCTGAGAATGACTTCGCCGACACCCAATCCAGCTTCGATCCCTTTCCTGATCTGTCCGTGTTCGATGAGTGGCAGCTCGATGAAGATAGCGAACATCCGGTGTTGATGCCGCATGATTCGGGTTCTATGCCGCACCCCACTTATCATGCTAGTGAAGTTCATGATGAGTCCGGTGGGCATAGCAGCCAATTTGGAGGACATGCTGGCAGTAAGCATATATATTTGATTGTAAGCATATATATACTTCTTGTGTTGTGATATATATTGTGAGTGATATGAGTCATAATTCAATCAGGAGGAGAGAATGAAAGTGGACGGGAAAGGAGGGATACTAAAGAAAGGGTGGCGTTCAAGACACAATCGGAGGCTGAAATACTTGATGACGGCTTCAAATGGAGGAAGTACGGCAAGAAGATGGTCAAGAACAGCCCAAATCCAAGGTAGTCAACCTAACATTGTTCAAAGTCGGTCAACATTATATTTTGCAAAAGAATACGGACACACACATATATATAACATATACTTATATATATTACGAAAACATTGTTGTCCCACCTTCTAACGGCTTAAGCAAATCGCTAAATTAAATTACACACTCCTGCAATTACACTTTTCAAAAATTATCATCACTTCTCGGCCATTAATTTGTTCCGGGTTTATAATTCAATATTCGTGTGTTAGTATAAACTAACAATATATGTTGCATATGCCAAAAACATAACATCGGATTTTACAGCTAGTAGTTCTTCATATGGTCATATGTATGTATATATGTGTGTGTGTGATCTGGACCATATTGAAGTGTTATGTGAATGCAGGAACTATTACAGGTGTTCAGTTGAAGGCTGCCCAGTGAAGAAGAGAGTTGAAAGAGACAGAGAGGATCCGAGGTATGTGATTACAACCTACGAGGGCGTCCACAACCACCAGAGCTCTTTCTAGTTCTTGAAGTTTTATATTTTTTAGGTGCTGATTACATGGTTCACAACTCAAACTTGGGAACATGATGTTTTAATTATCTTTGAGGTGTAAAGCTCCCATCACTGCCCTTGTTTACACGTTGTAATAGATGACAACAGGTTGGGGTTTATACATGACGTTAACCATCATGTATTTTCTTTTGCTGATCTTGTACAAAGCTGCAGAAGATCTCTTTACCTGTTAAATAGTTGTGAAATCTGATCAGACTTCAGAGTTTTCACAATAATTGCCAATCATATTTTGGCATTGTGATCTTTTTCCCTTAGAGGAGCGTCGTATCAGTCACTGAAAGCCTGCTGTTTCATATATTTAAATTCAAATTATTAGCCGTGTTTGAAGTAAGTTTTGTTTTTATTTTTCATGTTTTTTAATAAAGAAAAAATAAAAAACGGGAGAGAAACGAGGTTTGACACAATTAAAGACAAAAAACGGAAATTTTTGTTTAGTGTAAAATTAGAGAGAAATGAAAAACGACTTTTAGTCGTTTTTCATTTTTTGTTTCCGTTTTCTTCTCTCTCAGGCACAGAGAGAGAGAGAGAGACATTAATTGATTTTTTTATACTGAAAATAATCTCTGGATAAAACTACTAAATGCATTTTTAAAAATAATTTATGCCTGAGATTGAAAACATTTTCATTTCCATTTTCATATAAAAAATAAAATCATTTTCGAACGAGTTCCAAACGCACCCATTAATTCTGTTACAGTGTTTTCCTCTCATAAAAGATTTGAATTTCAAACGTCAGAATCAAGAATCATGATTTGAATATACATTCCAAATGAGTCATAAGGGACTAGATCAAAACCATGGGGTAAAACTTTTTTGTTTTTTATTGGAAGATTTTTATGACATGTATGTATGTGCCACTATCAGTATCATGACATTATTTATAGTGTTGGGCTCAAAACATAACAAGCTTGCTAATATAGGAGAATGAGCTTGTACAATTGGGCAGGAGATAACCATTAATCTTAAAAGAGATTAGTTGGTCAGCCTTTGGGGCAAAAAATTGACAACCCAACCACCTGGGCTATATTGCATCACTAAACAACTACACACTTTATAAAACCAGATAGATCCGTGTTAGATTATAAAAGGTCTTTGTTGGATAGATTCATATAAATCCGAAATTCCCAAGGAGGGAAAAATTTCAAAATATGTTTCCTTTTTTTTTTTTCTTTTTGTTAACTTGTTCCCCAGAGAAACTAAATTACATGAAAGTGACAAGAGCATGTCAAAAAATTATCCACCAACCCACAAGGCTAAGATTAAAAGAATAAATGCTATACAATAAGGAAGGAAGATTCAGCCATCTTATATTAGAGAAATGAACATCAAACAATTAAAAATTTTGAACATAAACGACGAGAACAGTAAAGTTCTTCCACAAAACGCTGCACGGTCTTTACATCAAACTTGGGTGTAACATATGGAGAAAGGTAATATAACAAGCTTTTTGTTATGTTTCACTCCAATAAACAAATTTCTGTATACAAGAGGAGAGCTCCATTCAAAGGAACTAAAATTGCGTGTTATATGCGCCTAATATCTTCACTTCGAACTATAACATCTGGATTTCGGGTGTGTGGAGCTACCAAATCCGTCCAATTAGATCCCAATTCATGAACATTTGATGAGATGCTCCATAAGATATCCCCAGGCTGTACCTTCAGTATCCCCAGAGGGGATGATTTCACAATTGCCTTTGACTTTGATGTGTATCCAATATATCTACCCAGGCCACTAGAAAGCAGCCAACGGGATCCGGATTGCTGCTGTGTTGTTGTCCCCCAGACCAGCTTGTTGGGGGGAACTGTATTGACACCAGAAAGGTGGACCCCAATGATTTGGAATTGGGGACTCTCTTCATCTTGTTTGACTGCCTCCTCTTTCTTCCCACTGCTTACCTCCTCTACTGGTGGCTGATCTTTTTCTTCATCCTCGCTACACTTCGAGACCACACTATGATTCCCTTTTTGCATCAAACGGTCAAATACCCGCTCCACTTGAATCAGAAGAAGCATCGGAACACCCACAGGCTCATGGTTTCTAAGGGGATTTCTAAGTTGCACCAGATGAGCAATTGTGAGGTTGTTTCCCAACAAGCCACACTTTCTACGAGCTGCTTCGCAAAAGCAGACATCTTGTTTCAACTTTCCACGGGCTAAATCCGTGCACTTGGCATGATGGGCATCGAGGACCTTTTCAATATGCTCAATGTTATGTTCTTCATCACCAAAGTTTCCAGCATCTAGCCTCAACCAATCATCTAATGTTATAGAAAGGCCAATTAAGTTACTTTTATCCCCAGAGGCTGACGTCTTCTCAATGAACTGGGAATATATGCAAGAAGGTGGCTCCTCATTTGACATTCGAGACTGTATCTTTAAGCCTTCTAGGAAGAAGGCTTCAATCTTATTCACAACCAAAGGAGTAAGATCTTCAAGAGATGCGAACTCCAAGGGTATCTCATCACTGATAAAACCTGTTCTATAATCCTTATAATCCCAACCAGGTTGAAATCCATGAACTTCCTTCCTTTCACCATTTGAATCATGCTGCAGCAGAACTTTCCTGTGAGAAATTGGAAATAAGTTAATTTATAATGCATGAATAGAGAAAAGAAAAGGGCAAAGTCGGATTATTTTGAAAGGCAAATGTTAATCAATGTGCTTACAAACCTCTGAGGTTTCGTCGAACTTGAAGCTGCACCACATGCTACCTGCTTTATTGTCTTCCCAGTAATATCCTCTAAAGGAATTAATTCATTGAGCTGCAAATACAGCTTTTCAGCTCTAACCAGTGCCAAATTTTGCAGGATCTCCATAACATCATAACCCATTTTTGCAGGTAGAACAGCAGGATTAGAGACTTGAATGATTAAGCTCCCCTCATTTTTTGCATTCCTGGAAAGTGAAGGACTCATGGACCACAGAAAGCCTCCATTATTCAGCTGAACACAAGGACCAAAGCCTTCTTCAAGTGGAGGTAATTGGTATCGCTCTTGAGGGGGAAGCTCAATTGGACTACCAAATCCACCAGAATAAGTACGAGGAGAATTTTGAAAGTCCTTCTCATTTAGGCCCCATTCTCGCATCAAAGCTTCAGTTTCCAAGCCTTCTAGAAGTTTGGCCTTCCTTCTCTTTAATAACTCACTGACCCTTTTATTCTCCTCTTCATCATCCTCAACAATCAAAGACAACTCAGAATCCCCAGAGTGATCCCGACATTTGAACCCAGTTACAGTTTTGTAGCCAAATTCCAACTCCTCATGCTTTGCATCAAAATCAAAAATGAAGCTTCCTGAAGCTAAAGCCTCCTCTTCAAACTGCCTCAAAAGAAGCTCTCGAGGAGACTCTGGATCACCATCAGAACTTGTGACAAATGATCCATGATCCACTTCTAACGTATTCAAGAAATCACTTGCCACAGATTCAGCAACATCATCCAAGCTAAGTGATTTTTTAAAAGATCTATTGGCTTTGTAGTTCGCTCTAACTTCCGTGTGATTTTGTTGCTCAATGAACTCTCTTGAATCTATTGGACGGTCCAAATCTGCTGCTTCTGAAATCAACCGACTGTTGCCAGCTGATTTCAGTTCTTTTGTGCTCAATTCTCTGGTATAGTTGCTATTTCTTTCATCCTTCCTGTCATCCACCACCGCCTCATCCCGGCAATTTGTATAATTGTCATCCTTGGAAATAGATATTGTCTCCTTGTCGAAATTTAAATCACAATCATTAAGGATCTCATCCACATTGATTGTCTCAATTGCAGGTCCATCGAAGGTATGACCAGCAATTTGGTTCGCCTCCAAATTCTCATGTTCAGCTATTTCAGTCCCCACTTCAGTAACGCTAAACTCAGTAATGTCCCAGTCATACCCTTCCATTTCTTCAGCAGGCACAAAGTCAAGGTCGAGTTTGGGTTTGTCTTGCTCCAACTGTTGATAATCAGCCTCTGCTGAAATGCACAAACTCCCCTCATCAAGTTTCTGATAAAGACAATCTATTGACTTGGAGAGCTCCAACCCTGTTCTCAGCAACACTTCACGACAGACATCAACATCAAAATACTCACATAAGAACTCAGACCCATAATTTACAGTACCTTGAATGGTGCCAACTCGCCGAAGCATCCTGCTATAATCACTAGGACTCGAACTAGCACTATTGTCCATGGTAGGCCTAGTATGCACTGTATTTAAAAGTTTAGGAAAATTCGAATTACCACTCAAGTTATCTAATTTATCTCGCATTACCCAGAAGCCAAAACTGACATTTAGATTAGCTCCTTTAGCTTTCCCCGAGAGGTTAAAGCTGGTTGTCCATTTACCACGGCTCTTCTCGCCTTCTAAATCCTCCAAAGTACGCGGTAAGAAGCTCGTGAGATCAACCCATTGCTTCCCAATATCCAGTCCAGGAGCCTCCATCAGAGAGGCATAGAGGAGGAAAAGCTTCGATTCATACTTCACTGGATGATTGCCCCCTCCACAACTACCATAAACAGAACACTGGTGCATTAAAGTTTCGTCAAATTCAGCCGCGCCCTGAGAAACTCTTGACAAGGAAGTCTGGACCACCTCATTCTTCCTCTTCCAATGCACACGAAGACTAAGGTTCTCAAAATTCGGTGGCAACCCTTCGATTGAATGGACATGAAGGTAAAAACAGCAATGGAATTTCTTGTTCCCAATATGCGTGAGAGCTTTTAAAGGCTTCTTCCAATTCCATATCGACGACGTTTTCTTATCCTTGTACAACGAGTCTTCCCTAAGTAATCCAGGGTTTAAACTTGATTTGGATTCTGATAAACGGACTCTTCCAACGGATTTGGATCGAACATCATTTGAAGAAGAGGTTTTGTTCAAGTAAAGTGCTTTGCTTATTTCCTCAATGTCTCGTAACAACTGGCCATTATTCGAATCCCCAATAGTCCTATTACTATTTCTAGACTCCAGCTTTCTCAACATTATCTTTGATTCAAGTAAAATCTCGCATAATAAACAAAATTTCCCGTCTCTACACTTTTGCAGATTTCCAAGTACTTCAAAGTCTCGTTTGGATCACAAAACTAAAATTTACAACAAAGAAAATAAAGAGAATATCAATACTCCAACTTAAGAACAAGATTGACTATCAAACTACGTATGCAAAAAAACAAAATAATCAAAACCCAAAAATGAAAAAAAAAATAAAAATCTGAATCTTTGAACGCAAGCTAACCTGGACAAAAGAATCTCAATCTCTTCAACCTGTCAAAATCCATGTGATTCAAGAGCCAAAAAACAACAAATTATTTCCGAGAGAAACTACAGCTTTGGATTTCAGCGGGTGTTTGGTCATGAATCGCGGAAACTTTAATTTTCCCGGAAAATCTTCACGAGACAAATGTGAAATCCACTGAAATGTTTTTGTCTGTTATATTGGAAAAGTGGAGTAGGTAATTCGGTCAGAGTCAGACTTGTAGAATAATTTCGCTGCTTTAATGGGTTATTATATCCTGCAACCGACTCCTCGCAGAATGACCTTGCAACCGGAAAGTAGTTCTTGCCCAATTCTAAACCTAAGCCTAAGCCCAAGCCCAGCTGCCCAAGCCCAAAGTCACTTCTCCTCTCGTCAGTCTCTCACCATATAAATACTCCAATCAACACAACAGATAACAGATAAAACAAAAGGCGCGCATAGAGGAAGAAGAAGAAGAAGAAGAAGAAGAGAGACATAAACGACAATGGAGGGGATTCTGAAAGTTCCGTACGACGCGACGGTGAGGGTGGCGTTGACTTCTCTTGAGCGGAATCTTCTGCCGGACGCCGTGATGAGGAGGCTGACGCGGCTGCTCTTGGCTAGTCGTCTTCGCTCCGGCTACAAGCCTTCCTCCGAACTCCAACTCGCCGACCTTCTTCGCTTCGCGCTTTGTATGATTATCTCTTCCTAATTTCTCTCTAATTACGCTGTTATGCGTAATAATCAATCAAAAATTAGGACATCTCCAAACACATTGTTAACTTAATACTGTAATTGACCAAGAACGTTTTCATTTCTGCGTTCCAATGGACCAATTCAATAATGCTGTACTTTAAAAATCGTGAAAGAAGGAATAATTTTGTTTTATTGGAATTTGAGATTTGAAATTCGAGAAATCAAACTAAAAATCAATCAACTGCATATTTTAGGCAAATAGTATTGCAATTGGAGGATTTTTTTTTTTTTTTTTTTTTTTTTTTTAATTTTCAATCTTTGGTACGCAGCGCTGAGGGAGATGCCTATAGCGATACAGACTGATCAGCCAAAAGTGCAACATTATGAACTACCGACGTCTTTCTTCAAGCTGGTTCTCGGAGAGAATCTCAAGTATAGGTACTTTGATTTGTTTTTATGTAAATAAAAGGTTGATTTTATGTACATATATTACGTTTTGTCACAATATTTAATAGTTATGAGGAGCTACTGCAGTTGCTGTTACTTCGAGAATAAGTCGAGATCCTTGGAGGATGCTGAGAAGGCAATGTTGGAGCTGTATTGTGAGAGGTCAGGGCTTAGAGATGGTCACACTGTTCTGGATGTTGGGTGTGGCTGGGGATCACTCTCTTTGTATGTTGCAAAAAAGTACAGAAACTGCAAGGTCACTGGGATTTGCAATTCGAAAACACAGAAAGCGCATATTGAGGAGCGATGCCGGTAATGCAGTTTAGTGTTTTTCTTTCTTTATTCAATGATAATTGGTTTCTGTCAGAGTGACTGAAAAAGCATAACATTTTGACATTTTTGTAGGGAGCTGCAGCTGCAAAATGTGAAGATCATTGTAGCGGATATTAGCACATTTGAAATGGAGGGATCCTATGATCGAATATTTTCCATCGAAATGTTTGAGGTAAAGTTGTTCTATGCTATGCGGTAGTAGATATGGAACGAATGTTGGTTATTGAAATTGACGAATTGGGTTTTGTATGATTACACAGCATATGAAGAACTATAGGGATCTTCTGAAGAAGATATCAGGCTGGATGGAAGAGGATGGCCTTCTGTTTGTTCATTATTTCTGCCACAAAGCATTTGCTTACCATTTCGAGGTATACTTTTTCTTTCCCTGTTTAGTTGATGAGGTTGCTTCATTCACATGATTACACTAAAGGAAAGGTCTTCCCTTGACGTCAAAATGGTACTTTCTGGCTTTATCTTTAATGTAGGATGTGAACGAAGACGACTGGATTACCAGGTACTTCTTCACGGGAGGTACAATGCCTTCGGCAAATCTACTACTGTATTTCCAGGTTATGTCTCTACTTTCTGCACCCAAACTTTTCTTTTCTGTTTTTATTATTGCATCGTTACCTTGACAAATTTGAGCTAAAATTATATGAGAACCAAGCAATACAGAACTCTACTTATGTCAAACTGGGGTTTTATTTTCTTTTCTGCATCTTTGGCTGAGTTTGACCCACTCTTTAACTTTCTTACAGGACGATGTTTCCATTGTTAATCACTGGCTTGTGAGTGGGAATCACTATGCACAGACAAGGTACACATAAAAACTACTTAAATCTTATTGCCTAGCCATTTTAAGGTAATTCAAAAACTAACTGCCTTGTGTTTCTAAAACAAATCTGGAAACGATTGTGTTGCAGTGAAGAGTGGCTTAAAAGAATGGATAAGAACAAGGCTTTAATAAAACCAATTATGGAGTCAACTTATGGCAAGGAATCGGCTGTGAAGTGGACTGTTTACTGGAGGACATTCTTTATTGCAGTTGCTGAACTATTCGGATACAACAACGGAGAAGAGTGGATGGTTGCCCTTTTTCTTTTCAAAAAGAAATGAAGTAACCAAAGATCCATTTCAGTACCACGTCCTTTGTTTTCATGCCGAGAGAAATTATGTCGATTTCGTGCCAATTACTGCATTTTTCTGATGTTCATAAGAGTTCAGTGACTTGAACTGTTAGCCGTATTTGTAATAATTGTGTGCTGGGAAATAAAAACGTATGTTCCACATTGATTGTAATATGAGAAGCTGTCATTGTGTGTCCCCTTTTGTCTGGCAAAAAACAATTAATCTCGATATTCTCGATTACTTTGCAATTTGGAAGGCCAACATTCTCCCTTTTTATTGAACTCTCAAGGTATTAGAATAAAATAAGCTTACAACCAGGACATGAATTTCAAGGAAAGTTTGCGGGTAAACCGATGTTGTTAGAAAAGTTCTGATTTTGTAACTTTCTGTACTATTTCAACGAACAAAAATAGATAAACCTATCAGTAAATAATTTATTCTATTGTTATCTCGTTGAAAAAAAATAATAAAAAATAAAAACTATTGAGACACACCACTAGAATCACGGTCCTTTGGATCAGTCTGATCAGCTTGAGTGGCAGAATCCGCAGATCCTTCAGCTTCCAAGAAGCGACTCAGATGTTTATCCTCCAAATGTTCCTTCCAAAAGAATAAAAAAAAAAAATGTCAACGCTTTTTTACTAAACATAACCATTTTAAAGAGAGTGAAAGAGAAGTACTAAATAGAAGGAAAAGAAAACAAGAAACGTACCACAAGGCAAGCTTTGTATTTCTGCCACTCGGAAACACACTCCTCTTTGTCCCATTGGCCCTTTACAAACTTCTCCGAATACCACCTGTGCTGTGCATATTATTATCATTGCCCATTTGACACAGAGAGAGAGAGAGAGACCAGGGTTTATGAGAGGTTTAAGGGAGTAATTAAAAAAAAAAGAATTTGAATTTGGACCAAAAAAGAAAATCCAGAAGAAAAGAAGTGAGGATGACCTGTTGAAGCAGTTGTGATAAGCAGCTCTGAGATTGGCACAAGGAGAAGTTGAGGAAGAAGAGGCTGCGCTTTTCTTCTCTTTCCTTAGGATCCCCATTTCCACTTTGCACAACAAGATTTCGCATCTCCGAAGTCCAACCTTTTCAACTAGTCTATAATAAGTCGCCGCCTCCAAAATAATTTGGGCCTTGAATTGGGCTATTCTGACGGTAAACGACACAATAAGGGCCTACTGAGCCTACAACAGTGCGAGGAATTTTGACAAACTCTCTAAAAATGAAAATGGTATCATTAGAATTTTTGGATATCAATATTAGTCTATTGAATTTGACATTTTTAGAGTAAATAATTTGACAGATTATTATCGATAATTTGACAGATGTCACCGATAGTAGGTCTCTGATCGCTGGTGGTGGGCGTAATTTAACAGATTATTGCCTAAAATTTGACAAATTATTATCTATAATTTGACAGATTATTATTAAAAGGGTAACCTATCACAACAAAAGGGTAGAACTTTTGAATTGTTTAAGGGTTAGTTTTTACAATTTCCTCTAAAAGTGTTGAGTGCCGTTATAGAAAAAATGGATAAATTATCCTTGAGAGTGCATGAGTATGCACTTTTACCCTTACTCTTGATAAACCATTTTATTAGTGTAATTATTTGACTAAAAAGGTTGTGAATCAAGAGTAAATGGTAAAAATCCTGACACATGCACTTTCAATGGATATTTATCAAGATTACCTGTAGTTATATTTGCATCTCAAAAATTTATAGATGTCCCCACTAATTAATACTCATCTAATAAAGATAAAAAAATATATCCTCATAATTTTCATAATACCTAATTTAACCCTTTCATACTCCCGCCAAATTTAAATATTGATTTAATTTCTAAAATAATATAATTACTTTCAACTATTAATGTTATATTTTTTATTTAAAATTTATGCAAGTCTCTTTACCTTTATTTATCTATTGTCTTCTTCTTACCTCATCCTCCTCCTCCTTTTTTTTTTTTTTTTGATGATGTCCATTAAATAAGAACAAAGCCTCCATAATACAAAAACAACTAGATGCGATTTAAAAAAAAAAAAAAAAAAAACCATATACACAATGATGTTGATGCATATAAAGACTCAATTGGGACCTTCTTTGAAATTTTCAAAGAATTTGATGGACAAAAGTATAGGATTTATGAAGATGAAATTAGGTTTAACCTAAAATGTGGGCTACGCTTTTTTTATTTATTTTTTTCAATTGGGTTTTTTTTTTAAAACAACTCTCCGGGTTTGATCCTCACAATTCACAAACTTCTCATTTGATTGTTTTGGCTAATTATATTGTTAATAGGCAAAACTAATAAAAACTTGTTCTTCGTTTCTTGTTTTCAGATTGATTTTGGTTTAATGTAAAAACAAAAGATGGGGTTTTTTATTCTCTTGAAAAATACTTTCTAATTATAGTTACTCTTTTATTTCTTTGAAAGAATATTATTTCTATTTATAATTAATTTAGGGGTATGTTAATGAATTTTAATGTAAAGTAAATTGTAATAAATAGTAATTATGAATTGGTTGTGGCATGAATGAATTTAATGGGTGTAAATATATTTACTCAAAAGCGTTGGAAATGGTTATAAATGGCCAAAGCCCAAGTACCTTTACAATTAGGGCTGGCAATCCGGGTAGCGACACGACGACACGACTCGAAACCCGCACGATATTAGCGGGTTTAGGTTTATCATAAATAGGTACGGGTCAAAATCAGGTCGAACCCGTGAAACACGATTAAATAACGTGTCATTTTCAGGTTGACCCGCCAACCCGTAATTAACCCGCCATAACCCACTTATTAAACGTTTCATATTTAGGTAATATGAATACACAATCCGTTTATTACCCATTTTATAAATAGGTTAACACGACCCATTTATCACCTATTCTATAAACAGGTTCAGAAATAGGTTAACACGACTCATTTATCACCCATTTTATAAACGAGTTGACAGGTAATCAACGGGTTGACACGACACGTTTATGACCTATTTAATAAACGGGTTATTCGTGTCGTGTCGTGTCAACCCGCCAATATACAGGTCGTGTTTGGGTTTTGTATTTCGACACAATTAATAAACGGGTCGTGTTCGTATCAGACCTATTCGTGCCAACTGAGGAGGTCAACACAGCACGAACACGACCCGCCAACACGAATTGCCACCCCTATCTACAATCTCATATTTGAAAGGGAAATTTTTAAAAATACTCTTAAAACGGAGCCCCTTATTATTTCTACCTTTAATATTAGCATATATATTTTAACCTTTTAGATTGGAACTAGTTAAGGTTAAAGTTTTTTAAAAATGTACTTTTAATAAGTCAAGTACTTAAATAGGTAAAATTTGTAATTTTCTCAAATAGAAAATTTTTTTTCACCAAATCATAATTAATATGTTTACTATAGTGTTTTCTCACATAAAAATTTGAATTTTGATTCAAGTTTTCCACTCAAATCTAAAAAAAAAAAAATCTTTAGGTATCATTTATTGCTAACATTAGTTAATTTTTCAGAAAAGATTTCACCAGGAAAAAGTTGGCTGACGCAAGATCCGCTTATGGGTATTGTTGTATCGCTAATAAACATGGTATTTTTAGAAATATAATACAGAATGTAACATTTTTAATAAATGCAAGCAAGGTTTCTATGGTTGATTTTTTTTTTTTTTTTTTTTTTTTTGTGGGACACCTAAAAGCATAGAGAAAAAGAAGAAGACAAACATTTATTTCTAAGAATCATAGTACTTGATTCGTGGAGGATAACGTGAGACATATAAAAAGTTAGGGAGATAAACAAGGGAAAAAAGAAAAGCATGCAGGAATAAAATAACAATGAAGTGTATTTTTTTCAAAAATTCATTACTTAAGTCTTAATAAAAAAATAAAATAATAACAGTCAGCTCTCATCATTCTTCTATAGTTGCTAAAGTTAAGCTATGCAGATCATATTCGGAAGTACAATTCACGCTAGCATAATAGACAAATGCAAGAGAACCCAATACTCCTGAGAACCTTTCGTTTTCTTTTCTTCCCAAAAGTTATTCTGCTTCTCATTTCAAGTTCAGCTTTAAGCAAGAAATTACGTGAGCTTTCACCTAAACCTTTGAAGGAAGGTTTTATTCTTTTACTATTATTTTTATGAGAGATTCACTAGTACGTTTAATTTTTTTAATAGTTAAATCTGCGTAATTTTTAATTTTTATGACCGTCTAATAGAAAACTTAACCTACTGGTATATTGGCGCATCGAAGAATGTTTTTATTTTTATTTATTTACTTTTTACCTTGACTTATGCTCCTACCAAACACTGTAAATCTTCCCTTTAACATAATAAATTGTACTTGCACGTTACCATTTACTTTTTGCATTTTTTTTCTATCTACATAGAAAATATGAGCATTCATTAATGAAATGTTATCATATGACAGTACTTGTAAATGCAAAACTTATGCTTGTTCGAATTATTTATGTGTCGTAATTTGTTAATTAGAAGTTCAGGGTTGCACACTTTTTTATTTTCTTTCTTTCCTTTTTAGTACTTTTTCCATTTCATTAGCTTCCAAACCCGCAATTTGATTTAAGCCATTTCAACTAAAAGTCATGGTTCGGCATAAGTATTCCAAACAGTAATAGTAAAAATATCTTACAACTTGCTATTCTCTTATAATGTGATATGAGTTCGTTTAGTTCGTTAATTTTAGTTTTTAATTCGAGTTGAGATGTGATTTTATGTGTGAACTTTTTACTGTAGTAAAAAAATTAAATGTGACTGTTTTTAATAACTTTTTACTGTAATAAAACTCGAATCGGCGAAATGAATGAGGCTGAATAATATCTATTGAAGAACAATACTTAAATAGTGCATAGATATTCAACTGTAGATTGTGAAAGGAATATATATGTACTTATAAGGAATTTCAATTTCTTTCCTTGAAGCCAATAGATGGAGAATGAGGGAGTGTGCGTAAAAGAGGTATGTTCTTTTTGCATATGTAGTATATTTGTACAAAATTTGTTATAACTTCGTCAAAAAATATTTTTTTCTTAATAAATATTTTAATGTTTTTTAGGAACATGTATTTGAGATCTTTTTTTAGGTTCCAATATCTGATTGCATTTTATTCAACAACAAAGGAAAAAAATATTTAATTGGAGTATCTTTTTATCAACAGACTAGTTAATTTTAAAACTTTAAGATAAGCAATAAATGAACAATTTAACTAGTAAAAAATATTAGTTAAGAAAAGGCGCTAAGAATTCTACAACACTACTATAGGAGGTCGAGTTTTACTGTTTAAAGAACATTATTTTTCCTTATTTGCCCTTCAATTTTTCTCTTCTTCTCCTCTCTTAGACACGTGGTTGTCTATTTTTTTTCCTTTTTCTCTGTGCTGTTGCTTTGACTTCTTTGTTTTTCCTGTGCTGTCGCCTCCCTTATTTTCTGTGAGACACGTGCCTCTCTTTTTTGGTTTTTCTTCTTTTCCTCTGATGTTGCTTCCAACTGTATACAATTCTTTCATTTCTCTCTTATTTTTTACACATGCCTCTCTTTTTTCGTTTTTCTTTTCTTCCTCTCATGTTGCTTCTAGTTGTATACAACTCTTTCATTTCTCTCTTAGTTTTTTTCTCTCCGCTGCAGAAGTCCGTTTGGCTCCTGGGTTTTTTTTACATGTTGTTTTTTTCTTTGGGTTTCATGGTTATGTTGTTGGTTTTTTTTTTTTCTCAGTTTGCTTAAAATTTTTTATTTTTTTCTCTTCTTCTACTGTGTTCTAGAGTTCATATGCTTTTTTTTGGTTTTTTTTCTTTTTTTCTCTTCTTCCAGTGTGTTGTGGAGTTCATCTGCTTTAATGTTCGAAGTTTTTGGTTTTTTCACTGTTTGATGTTCCTTCTAGCTGGCTACATTTCTTTTATTTCTCTCTTCTTTCATCTTATGTTTTTTGGTCTTCTGGTTTCTTTTCTCTTCCCCTAGTTAATTTTTTTCTCTCCGCTGCGGATGTTCGTTTGGCTCTTAGGATTTTTTTTCATGTTTATCTTTTTTCTAAAATATTTTTTT